AGAGCAACGATAAAATTAATTACAGGCTAAACAAATTGAGCCGTTAAATTTTATGTTATGTTTACATTAGCTGAAAAATAATAATATTTTTCTAAAACCCCCCAACACTCCGTATTTACCAAACAGTGTAAATGGCCATCGAGTTGAAGGCAACTTCCCGTCGCGGCCTTGACTCACCTGCAATGAGACAGAGAAAAGAGAGAGATTCTTAATTAGTTTCCCGCAAAAAAGGTAAATTGGTATTTAAAATGCAAGGTCTAGTCAAAGGTGAGACACTCAATTATCCTTCCCCCAAACAACCTGCCAATTACGGCAATTCCGCCCCCGCAGTTTCCACTTCAGTTTTAAATCTACGCCCACGAAAGATGCGTAGAAATCAATGGGGAAAACGCGAAAAAGAAGTCAAAAACATTCAACATTCAAATAAAATACAAAACTCACCGAACGAAAGCGAAATTTTTCTTCTTTTGTTCGGCGATTCGCTTTTTTCGGTTAATAAGATTAATTTGCAGTCGTCATCGAAGTCGGTTCGCCTAAGGCGCTTACAAAAATATCTTATGCTTTTCCCACATCTCGGAACCAAAAAAAAAATATAAATAAATAAAGAAGAAAAACGTGGGCGACATGCAAATTGAATTGAATGGCATTGTTGTAAGGCGCAACATATGTCATGTCCAGATGTTTAAACAATTTGGTAGATACTTTGGATACACAGTGCGTTTCGCAACTGCAGTCCGAGTCTCGAATGTCGCCAGAGAAATAAGTGTGTTGCAAAAAAGCAAATATCGAGGCTTGATTATAGTATCATGTGAAATTCCTAGGAGTCGAAATTAATTTTCACATTTATTGTTAGAAGATTAAGCACGACTGGTTTTTTTGTGTGATGTATTTATATAAACCTTGACAAATGACTCTTCAAAGAAATTAAAATGTTTTGGATTAAAGATACATTTAATATTTATCGTTTCGTTTAATCCCAATCAGGTCAATGTGTTTTTACAAAAAATAATCATAACGGTATTGCACTTTCGGCACACACTGTTCGTGGCACCAGCTTCACAGAAATAAATATAAAAACCACTAAACCAAAATTAATGACTTTGCCGCGGTGTCTTTTCGAATTTTTTTATTATTTAACTATGCAGCGTTGACAAATTGCATTTCGTTTGGGATTTTCGTGCGTTTTGTCTGTTTCGTTTCTGATTAAATTTTTATATACAGCTCCAGCATTGTAAAGAATTAATTAAAAACAAAGTAGTATTATTGAAATGGACAAAAAGCGGCAGAGGTAAAAATGCAAGTCGTTCGAGTGACTCCCACGTCAAAAAGCGCGACTCAAGAACGGAAAAAACAGTATTTTAAGCGACGCCCCCGACATTGACATTGGAAGTTTGTCATAAACACGACACAAGATCGAACACAGATAAAACAAATTGCAAAAACATGAAAAAGCGCAACTAACTTGACTTTGAATGGGCAGAAAGACAGAAAAAAACCGACAAACGAGCTGCAATTGAATTCAGTATTTGATATTGATTGATCTCGGCTTAATTGTGAAAAAACGTTACAGGAAATGTTTTATATGTAGTTTCAACGGAACTGGACAGAGACTGCAAAATGGTCACGTGTTTTTTCAATCAATTCGTTGTTTCTGTATATTTTTAAAATGAAAGCAGAGATATTAAAGAAAGAATCTACGCGTTGTTGAAAATGTATCTTTGAACAAAAGCCGAAGCTAAGGTTACAAGTATGTATGTAGATACTGGAGGCATATTGAGATACAGCATTAATAACAATTATGCGGCAATTTCAATAGCGCTGGGCGGAGTTGACGAAGCCAAAGACAATATTCAAATTAAATTCTAATTTAGTAGCTACTAAAGGTCGCAGGCAGCGCCAGCGGACGCCTCAAGTTGAAAGTGAATTTGAAGCGTTTTCGGTTTATTTCACCCAGACGTCGACGCCGACGGTGACGCCGGCAGCGACAGCAAATTAAACGCTCATTAGCATATTCCAAAGTCAGAACGCGATAGGCGGCTGGCGGTACAGCGGGGGCTGGGGGGAGGGGGAGGAAGAAGGTAGGTAACGGGGATCCAAAGGGAGCCATGCATGCGAGCACGCACGAAATCACCTCCTAAAGGCAAATACAGGAAACGCTCCCTGCGACGAACGTTCGAAGTGCCTCCAAAAATTATAACAGTAAAACAACAATACAGAAAAAATAAAATAAAAATATTAAGAACAGAATATCAATTTCAGATTCATTGATAACATATTACATTTTGTTTAATTTTCAATGCTGATCAGAAAAGCCTTTACAAAAATGGGGCATTAAAAACTGGGTTCAAAAATGATCTAATAAAATGATTGGTAAATTTTTAAAATATTTTTTACAGTGCACCTTAGATGGATACGCACGCATGGGAAGAACAGAAAGAGATAGATAGCTCCAGCAGGAAGTGTCTTCCTCTTTTGGGGCGAAAGAGAGGCCTGCTAACAATAACAACTAGAGAGGAAAAGAGAAGGAGCGAACGAGATGAGGCGGCAAAATAAATTAATTTGCTTCAGCCGCTTACCTATAGGAATATATATATTATCCTATATACATACATATATATATCCCTTCCTGCCATATGGAGTATTTTTTAGCAGGATGAAAGGGGAAAGGAAGTGGCCGCCCTTTCTCCTCCTCTGGAGAGCTTTTGCGGCCCCATTGCGTGTCATTCAATTTACATTAATTTAGTTGATGTTACACTTGCGGCAAACCAAAAAAGGGCGGCGGGCGGCGAGTTTGGAATGGGGGGCGTGGCCGCGTCAAGAGCAATTTGATTAGGCCAAGCTAAAGCCGAAGGAGGCGGTGGAAGTCAAAGCGAGTCAAGCCGATTGAAGACAGTTTGTCAATCACTGAACTCCAAGGGTCAGGAAAAAGTGTAAAAATAAAAACTCGCGTTGGGTTAGGAAAAAGAAATTCATTAAAAAAAACGGTTGGACCCTGATCTGCATAAATAATGTGTACAAAATCGGTAAGAGAAGAAAGGGTTATGGAAAGCCCTTATAAGAAAAATCAAAGAATTGTTGGAGAACAGCTGGTGACTCAGGATCGGCTTTAAACCTGAATTCACCACATCAAAAGTAATTTATTTATTTACTCCAGTCTTAATTTGACCGTGTTTTCGATGTTATTTACAGCTGAGTTATTGGCAGATTGGGGCAGAGATATCAGTATCGAAATAGCTAAAGCCAAGGGTCAATAACTGACTCTTAACCCCTTCCAAAAATATCTGATCCAGTTAAACAAAGTAAATACAAACAAAATTCTTCGAAAATCGTGGGGGGAAATCGCAGTAGTAGCAAAGGGGAGCCACAAAAAAAAGGGGGAGTTGTAGATAGTCTTCTTAACATTTCGAGGGAACTCCATTGGATTCTACAGAAATCCGTCGCTCAATCGGATGGCGCGAGTCGGCGGATTTCGCGATTTCGTCAATGAATATATTGTATATAGTGAGTCATATGGTCAGTCCCCCCTGGCTAACGGTTAAGCGGACAGGCGAATCAAAAGAAAAGTGTGAGAAAGGAAAAATGAAATATTTAAAGTCGCAATCGCAGTAAAGAGACAAATGAGTGACAAAAAGTGGGGACAAGCCAGCCGATGGAGATTATAAGAGAACTGAATGAAGAGAGCGATAAGATGGGGATACCCCGAGGTAGAAAGAGTACTCCACTACTCCACTCCTTCTCATTAGTTCTTATTAGAAATGATTTTTTGGCTTACCCTTCTTTAACCCTTTGTTACAAGGTAACACAAAGACTTAAAAACAGTGGCTTTAGGAACAACATTTTAAGTAAGCATAATCCGGAAATTACTTAAAATATAAGCTAGTAAAATTGTTCAATAAGCCCCACAACTAGATAACAATTAAATAAACTACAAATAGTTGTTTTGCCATCAAATTAAATCAAACTTTTTAGCTAAGTTCTCTAGAAATTCATTTACAAATTAACAAAAGTGGCGAGTATTGTTTTACCTACATGAAACATTAGTAGTAGTTTTTTTTAAATTATGAGTATTATAACTAACTTTTTAATCGCAACATTTTAATAAGCTCCACAGCCACTAAAGGTGGTTAAATGAGTGTATGCCCTTGTGTAAAGCAACCAAACGTGTGCCGAAAATAAACCGAGTTTTTTTCGAACCTTTGAGCTAACCCCAAAATGCACTTAGCTGCTGAGGAATTTGTATGTTCAGAGGCTTACCGCCTCTTGAACTCTGCCTAAATGTTAATTTTTGCGCATTATATGCCGTTATTTAACTTTTGTACATTATTTTTTTCTTATTTCGTATTTCGTATTTCTTTGTCGCAGCGAGAGAGCTGCGAACAGATTTGAGTCAAGGACGTGACTTTTATAGCAAGTTCGCCCTTCGGCGGTTCAACTTGTGATTATAATCATGATGATGATGTAGCTACTTCTCCGGCTTCTTCTGCTTCTTCATCGTCCACCTACTCAATGGGTTAACAGTTGAGTTTTGTTTATACAACGATAATTGAAGGGGGTCTCTTGCCATCCATTCAAGTTCAAGTCGAAACTGAAACCCGTCACAATATTAATTTTTCTCTTTGCACCTGTTGGAGTGACTCCCCATTGAACTTGATTGCGAATTTATCAAAAAATTCAAATTTCATTTCAGAGGGTTGGGTCTTTAATTGGAGTCAATACAGTTTTATTTTTTCTTTTTATTTATTACATGTGTGTTTCTGTTTTAAATTGCTGGGCTTTGAATTTCATTTGTACAACATTTTCTCGATTCGGGTTACATTTTTATTTCTAACTTTTTGGACGTGATATTGCCAGTATTTTTATTTTTATTGACTGGTTTTTTCAACCTAACCATTTTTGATAATGTTTTGTGTATCCAATTGCTTTGTATTATATTTTGCAGCATTTGAAGCTGTTGTATTATATTTTCTGCATTTTTGTTATTTGGCATTGTGTTATTTTCGCCTGCAACTCTTTCACTGTTGCTGTGTTTATTTTTTTTTTTTTTTTTTGGTTGGAGCAGGTTCAAATGATGGGTGCAGCATTTATTTGTTGTGAAAAGGGAGTGTTTGGGAAAGGGTGTGGAGGCTAGGGCCCTCTCTTTTTGCCATAATTCGCCTCTCTTGCGCTCGACTTTTCCACTTTCCACATCCATCATCATCAATAGCGGAACTCCGCTTCAAAGGATGTTCTGGAATGGAAAGCTAACCAAGCGTGGTCACCACAGCAGTCCGACTCTTTTACGAGCTACCCCTTTCTTTCCAACCTTAGAGACCAATTATATGCAGATTTGTTAACTTCAGGGTAAAACATTCTCGGTTACACAAACAAAATGCCAAACATAAGTCAAAACAAACTTTACATATGAGAAAGATCAAAATAAGTAAGAAAACCAAAATGAAAAGAGGAATTTGTGGTTTTTAAAGAAAAACTTTTCCACTTGTCCTAATGATTCCGTCAGATATATGTATTTTGCTCGTTTTTTCAGCTAATTAGTTTACTATTGCAAATTGGAACTTTGTTTTGAAACTATTCGTTTTTGGGTCAGTGTAAGAAAGTCGATCAATCATCACAAAGTGGGAAACGCAATATAAAACAAAGCTCGAAAAAAGAAAAGTTTCCCAATGCGTGGAGAGCAATATGTTAGTGGATCTAATTAAGATCAGGCCTGAAATATATAAAAATAACATAAAAGGCGGCAGTTGCCAAAGCAGGAAAATATATCGAAAATGGAGTAATTGAATAGCCATATAAAATCGAAAATAATAATTGGGATAAGTAAGCAGTCCGTCTGAAATTGTATTCCGCTGATGTCATCACATTTTTTTTAGTTTTCGAAGCAACAACAAACAACTTAACTAAAAATTATATAAGAAGTATCTGTTTTTTTTTGGAGATACTATTAAAAATAACTCAAAGGTTTTGGTTGCTGGGCAATTACACAAAATCGCATCAAAACGCTACAACATATATTTAAAAAGTTGATAAGAATATTCTCGATGTATAATACAACCATCACTTCATCGGCGTGAACTTCCGTATAGCGAACTCTGTCTTTTCACGACATCAAATTTCACTGTTCATTGCACTCAGAAAATCTATACAAACAAAGCAAACATCTTGGGAAAGCCCAGGAAACCTTCAGATGAAATTAGTGGGGGTCACGAGTACACCCATTTGATGATGCGAACAACCAGGGAAAATCGACATTAGTCCTTCGCTGAGTTCGCAAGAAAAAAGCACAAATAATAATAATGAGTGTGGGGCACAAAAAAATAATAGGAGCGGAAAAAAACAAAAAACAGAGAACAGTGGAAAGCAAAAGCGAAAAAAGCAAGAACTTAATACGCTTTAAATGAGTCGCAAACTGTCATAAAGTCGAGTGTCAAATGGGTTATCTGCCGATGTCTGAGGGCAAAAAGAACCGACGGCCAACGCAGAGTTCTCAAGATCGCAGATCGCGGATCGTCAAAAGGAAAACTTAAGAAGGGAAAAACATCACATCACATCGTATATTCTCCCCCTTGAAGCTAAAAACGCTCCGCGTTCAAGGTTAATTGTGCAATAATTTATGAAACTTTATGAAATGGCAAATGCGACAAAACAAAGCAAACAAATTAACATACAGCTGGCTGGCTGCTTTGCCATATAAAGTCGCGATACAGATACGGATACACAGATACAGATACAGCTGCAGATGTCCAGATACAGTCACTTTAGCCATAGATGCAAGACGCAAAATTATAGTTCTTTAGTTCGCTCTCATTGTTTCGCATGGCAAGCATTTAACAACAATTATCGCCATTACGAACATTTATTTTGATCACCAAAGCACGTATCAACATTAAATGGGAAGATATATAGTATTGGGAACAGTTTGTCACATCTCATCTTAAATATTAATTAAATATGCATTATAAATATTTTAAATTAATTTTTATTGAATTTGAAAAATATTTGCTTTTTTGGTAATACATTTATGAAATATATAAATAAGTTAAAATAGCCTTTTAAAATCGAAACATATTTTGCCGAAATGCACTGTCCAGTGTGCTGAATCTGCATTCAAATTATTTTTAAATTAAAGCATTTTGAGTCACTTTCCGATTACTGGCAAATGAAAAGCGCCAGCGCCAATGAATTATAGAAACATTTTGGTTTTGACTTCGAAAGAAAATTCATAAACAAAGCGAAAAAAACAATAACACTTAAAGATTCGTTTGCACATATTTGTATAATCATCACAATCTTTGGACCATTTAAAAAGCTATGAAATAACCGGCACAACAATAACATTTGGCTAAACTTCCGGATCCGAAAGAGATGGCCGATCTGCGGGTCGAAAAAGATGGCTATAGCTGCCAACAAACTTTTTGAAGGTTCAAGGTAACATTTTTCGTACATTTCTCGTATATTTTTCTTTACTTTGGCATTAAATGATATTTAATTTGCATTTTGCACGGGAAATGTGAGGGGAAGGTGCAAAAGGCGAAGGTGGGTGAGTGGGTGGTGCGGTGGCCGCCGAATGCCCAATTAAGTTTGATGAGCAGAGAACGAGGCGCAAGATGACATCCGTTTGAGTTCAAGAAACCGCCGACAGCTGACGGCAACGAAAACGCCACTGACGCACCACCGCACCACAGTGGTGCTAAAAACGTTTGACTGTTAAATAATAATAGCATTTCTTTTTTAAGGAAATTTCATAATTGAGCGCGAATTCATTGGCACCTTTTTGAGTTAAACATATACATTCAGAAAAAATTGTTTCTTTTATAAAACATTTTGAATAATTAAAAAAGATTTTTCATTATCTTCAGATTTTTGTTCCACTGTGCAGCAAATTCAAGAATAATAAAATAGTCATATTAAAAAAGTTCGAGAAGGCAATAATTATGTAAGTTGTAGGGAATGTTAGTGAATAAATCACTTACATATCAATATTTATCCTATGCTATTGCCATTTAATAAAGTATCAAACTGTGATACATACTTCTTGTACATATTACCCCTATAAATAGTATTCGTTCCACTGTGACTTTGTGTCATCTCATAGGCATCTTCGCATTGTTTATTTTTTTGTTTGACAAATTATGAACACGTTTCGTGTGTGTTTCTTCTGCGGCCAGTGGATTGTAGATTTGGCATTTGAGATTTCGGATTGTGGGGCATCGAACCATTCGTCAGTTGATAAGATCGATGGGGCACAAGTAGAAAGAGAGGAGAAACAAAGTGGGAGTGGGAGTGGGAGAGCAGATAGAGCTGGGGACCTTCATCCAAATGGCTTCGGCTGCGGATGGTCAAAGGTGAGTGAACTGACCGGCATTACCCAACAGCGGATCGGGTGGCTATAACCATTAATGCGAACGGGCCGAATCTGTATCTGTATCTGCATTTCCTCCTCAATTGTAGCCATGACTGATAAAAGTGAAAGGCAATTTGTGAACTTTTCAATGCTTTTGTCTATTTTATGTGGTACCCCCGATTTTGTTCGCCGATATATTTTGTTGTGGGTGACCCGGCGGCACCGAGGGCGGGGTCGCAAGGTTACCCTTAAAAATCCGAAAATGTTTTTTAATTAAAAACTGCAGAAAAGGGAGAAGAGAGGTCAGCCACTCGGTCGGTTGGTGGGTCGATGGGTCTGTCAGTCCCTCGAACAGTCATCGCATCGCATTGCTGTGTGCTCCACTGATGTCAGCTGCATCATCTCCCCATCTCTAGCGGATGAGTCAGTATCCGAGAGATATAAATTTGTTTTGGTCTTTGCCAAGTTCTTTTCAGACCGGCAATAAATGGCCAAAAGCAGCAGAAAGCCAGAGATACAAAACAAACCGAGAACCGAGAATCGGCAAAGCACAGCTAAGGGTAAATTATTAGTGGGTGATGCTTTGAGCTTATGTCAGAAGATTATTAAAATATTTTTGGAACAAGATCTGGTTTGCCAAACTATGAAAACGAATTTATTTTGCTTTTTTAGTAACAGAATGCATACCAATATCCCAATTAATACTTTCAATGTTTGTTTCTGTTATTACTACATTTATCATTTTTTTCGGGTAATATTTTTTTTGTTTTTCTTTTTTTCCCCCAGCTGTACTTCACTTATAAATGTGGATGTTAGTCATGCAGGGACTGCAGTTAGACAAAGATGAAAGGAACTGCGAAAGAGAGAGGGAAGTTCGAATCGAGTGTTCTACCATGAGTCACTTTTTGGGGAACCGAGAATCAGGAACTTTTGCCAAGATTAATGGATGTGCTTCTTTCCCTTGAAAACAGTTAGCCCACTTACCAAAAGATTTCCGAATCAAGATTAGCGAAATGATGGAATTACTCACCTGAAATGAAAGAGAAGACGGCAATTAGCACAAAGTATTCGCAAGTCAGATGAAATACAAAATGCAGCCAACAAATAAAGCATTCGGGTAAAAGTAAAAGCGCAACAAGTTGCGTGTGGGCGTGGCAAAGAAAAAAAATAAACAAACATAAGGAAAAACAAAAATAAAAAGTGAAAAGCAACTCTAAGCAAACGAAAGAGACGGGACACACTTAGGTGGAACCAAAAGTTAATAACTTAGACCCAAATGAAAGTGAAAAGGGCAAATAAAAGTAAAAATAGAAATGCAAATGGAAATGGAAAAAATAGTAAAGTTAGGCGAATGGTTAAATGGGAAAAGCGCCGAAATGGGGAAATGGTCACAGAAATGAGGCCGACAGACTAAATTACAAATCAATAAGCAAATACAATATGCACGGTCAGACAGTGCGTTTCACTGTTGTAAGGCAACGGCACGCAAGCCGCGGAGTCGTAAAAAGTAGTCTTTAACTACTTCCCAAAACAAAATATTGATGATGGGTACGGTAGTAAAAATGCTAAATTGATCGAATATTAATTACTTCATTAATATCTAGCCAACTAAAATTAAAATAAAACGATCTAAATGGCGACCAATCGAAAAGATTTTCTCAAAACTGTTTATCGGACTCAATTATGTTGTTAAATTACAATGTAGCCAAGGACTCAATCAGAGCTTGAAATAAAATTCACATAAAATCAATGTGAAAGCCGGAAAAGACGTGCATTTGATGCCTTGTCAGCCCGAAAGACTCAACTATCAATTTCCACTCTTATGGTTATGTGGCAAAGTGTAAGTTCGACCTTTACGAGTCGTAAACTTACGCACCTCCCCCGACTTTGTGGCTTCGATTTTGGTTTATGTGACGCAGACAAATAGTAAAAATAGTTGTCAACTTCTCGCCCACTTTTGATGGACTATTCAGAAGTTAAGGGCCACGGCGGCGATAGAATGGAATGCAAGCCTTTAAGGGGAAATCTGCCATCAAAGGAGGCGATGAGATGAGCTGAGATGAGATGAGAGCAAAGAAAAATGTTGCTCTGGCATTTTTCCATCAGCCAAGTGTCAACTACCAAACTTCCCGGGGCTCATGATTAAGATGACAATCCCAGAAACCGAGGGAAATGCGCGGTGGATGAGCGGAAAAAGTCGAGACAAAATGGCAAATCCAAAGAGTTTTGACGCCGACAATGCGCGCATGATAAAAATAATCATAATGCAAACACCGAAAGGTTGTCCCCGCGAAAAGATACAAAGATACAGAGATACAGAAGAAAAGCAACAGTGCACAGACAGATGGATGGATAGATAGATAGATGGATAGATGGATGGATGGATGGATAGATGGGGGAGAATCGGTGGGAAAATGGATGTGCGGAATACGTGAATAGAATTTTGTCATCAGCCATCGAGATGATGCAACGTAAATGGCATCACAGGAACCTGTTTTCACCAAAGATGATGAGAAATCAACTTGGTAAAGTCAAGAGACCAAAGTTTTTCTAAGTCATTTCAGCTTCAAAACATCTACCCATTTGTCGAGTATTTAAACTCGAATTTACATAACTTTTTAAAGACTTTGCCTGTCTTATATTTTTATTATACCGAAAGCATGCCTAAATTTCCGTTTTAACCGTTTCCCTTTTCACTAGTTTATTTTACTCATTAACATTTTAACCACAAAAAATAATATAAATATTAAAAGGTAATTAATCTGGCAAAGGTAAAACTTGAAAGTCGGTTTCTTGGTAATTTTCTTCGAGGAAACTTAATAACAGATGAGCTGCAGGCGTGGCTTGGGTCTTTAACTTAAGGCGATGGATGCAATGGAGTGAATAACTTATCAATTTGTTAATTAATTCCCGGCTAAAAACAACGAACAAAAGCGAGCAGTCTGGATTGGTTGGTTGTCAAGTGCAAAAAAATCACTTAATTGTCGTTTTGCATTTATTTGATGTTTTTCTTTTTATTTAAAGGGGAAAAAGAGCCTTGTTTTTGTTTTTTTTTTTGATTACAATGGCTGTAAAAAGTGCCACCCAAGTGGAAAACAAAAGGCAAGTAGCACAAAGGCGTTGAGAGCCAATTAATGGGACCGCCTCAATAACCGACTGTCGGAATCAGTAATTGACAAACCGAGCGACCAACTGATTGACTGACTGACCATCGGATTGACTTACTGACTGACTGAATGACTGTCGACGAGTGCGTCAATTGGCATCGTCGTTAAAATGATAGAGAGCGGCATTTCTATCAGCGCGTGCAATTGTCAATTAAAGTGCGAGCTGCAAGTAATTAATGGCAGGCGAACAGAGTCCAAACATCAGCCACACTATCAAAACTGAGAATTTTCATATATAATATGAAAACTCAAAAAAAAAAAAAAAAAAAAAAAATGCACCGAGAAAACCGACCCTGAATGTTCAGAAATCTTTCCTAATCTGTTCAAGACAAACAAAAGTATAATGTTTCATAAGTTTTCTGATTTATGGTTTCTTGATGAAGAATTGCATCCCACAGATATAAAGTTCTTTGGTCAAAGGTTTTACCATATCCTTATTTTTAGAATAATTCCCAATCGACAGCTGTAACAGCTGTGCACAGATCCGTGGAATAAATAACAAATTGAACATGGGCTTCGGCACAAGGCAAACGAAGGGAAGTTAGCACTTTGTCCGTGAGTTTTCAATTGCTTTCTCCGCTGCACTTTCCTTCCCATTTCCCTCGTCTTCCATCACAACTTTTCTTGAGTTGTTTATGTTGTCGCTGGCATTGATAATGAACAACTGTGGATGCCTTTGTATTTATAAGTATTGGCCCTTATCGCACATCATTACAGAACAGCTTGCAAAGTCAAGCGCAAAGAAGAAAAATAGGAGGCAAATTGTGGATTTTCAATATCAAAAAGGTTCCATGGTTTTCAGGCATTTGGAAAAATTCTGCGCAACTAGTTCCAATTAGAATCGGTTCTGTTGGGTATCTATTTACCATCTGCACCTGCTTTTCACACCACCATCCAGCTTTTGTCGCACCAGCGAAAAAATTGTCATTAGAGATTTAGATAAAATATCAGCAAAGCGTTTGACAGGTTTTGTTTCCAATCAAATTAATACACCTTTACAAAGGGATCAAGCGCAAAATGATAAGAACTTATCCGAAAAAAATGTATATTTGTTATTTCGCTTTATGTTACTTTAATTGAAATATTTCTTAATTCATATAAGGTATTTTATTTTATTTCCCCAACAACTCTTCTTTTTCAAGGAATATTATACAAACTTGGTTTCTATCTGATTATTATAAAAAATTAAGCATACAAAAATGTTTATAAAAATGGTTTTACCATTTTTTCCATCACTATTATTTTGCGCTTGGCTGTAATTGGCTTCCCCCTTCGCACACCCAGTTTGAATGCACATACGCATTGGAAATGTTCCCATTGTTGGTCTTATTGCTGTTGATGCGTGTCAAGCAGTTGGCTCTATATGGTATCTACCCCTGCCTTTTGGACCCCATACCCCTCAGAACCTTCCTCCAGTCACCCTCTCTATATAGCATATAGCATATAGCATATCTCATTCTCCGTTCCACTTCTCGGCTCGCTTCAATTTCCAGGCATGACCATAGTACGATAACTGATATCGGAGGGATATCGGTAGGAGGTTCTCCGCAATTCTCTACAAGTCTCTCTCAGTTCTCTGTTCTCGGCTTCCCTTTTGGGTTTTGGGTCTATTGTGTACTACTCCCTTTCCATGTTTCCTCTTTATCACTTTAGCTATCCCCCTCTTTTTTGCTGATAGGCAAAATCGAGGGTGGCATCTATAATATTCTGTACGTAAATGGTACAGCAAAAAAAAATTATGCGATGAATACAGTTTATATGCCTATTTAACTTATAATAAAAATGCACAAATTATGAATTAAACTTTTAAAATAAATAACATTTTTGTTTTTTATTAAAAAATTATTAATATAATTTTTCAAAACTTTTTACGAAGTTACTTCTATTCGAATTGTAATAAATATCGGCTTCCGGTAAGCATTTTAATATTTCCGCATTTTTCTAATGTAAACAAATTCATCAAAATTCACACAAAACCAATAATTCTTATACGTTAAATAAATGCAGAAAAGGGTGAAGGTAAATATTTGGGTGTGAGTTTGGGTTCGCTTAGTTTGGGTTTTAGTTCAAAGGCCACCGATTAAAAGGTATTTAAGAAGGTCGCATTAGGCAAATGCTTTATGTTTAGCCAACAAAACAGAAATTATGCAAATCTCTAACCGACCAACAACGCCCCAAAAAATAAATAACTAACCGTTTTGTGTTTGATGAGCGATTCAAAAATTTCAATTAGCGGACTTAATTATTTTCCCATTACAGCTGAGATTTATGCAGATGGGAGGGGCGCAGCCAAAGGTCGCCAAACAAATCATCAAAGTCCAGGAGCACTCAGTGCCAGAAAAAAGCAGGCAACAAAAAAAGAAAAAGAAGAAAACAACACCGAAAACCAAAATAAAATCCAAACGAATTCGATTCAATTCAATCAACAAAGGAACAACACCGAAACAAAGTTCAAGGGCATTTACAACTAAGAAACGATAGGAATCAATTTGTTGGGCTTGTTATTATCGGCAAGGCCACCGAAAATCATATAAATCAATAAAAATAAAGGGATTTCGTATTAAATATTGATTGAAAAGTTTACTTTCAGAAATCGCACCAAAGTGACATGGGGCCCGGCCCACATGGGAAAATATGGGCAGGAATGAAATTGGAGAACAACGTGGATTTTCACCGGGGTAAATGGAGCAACGAAAATTGATTTACACGAATTTCCTCCCCCCCCCTCCACGAGATTTTCCGTTTTATCAAATAGTCAAGAAATTGAGGAAATCGAAGAGAATTGGACTGAGAAATTGGCAGGGAAACAAGTGGGCGTGGCTCTTGAGACGATTACTGTCCAGCTCATTTGGCAGCCAATTAA